AATTTAAAATGAAATGCATTTTCAGATCATGAACCTGAAGGAGACTGGAAATTAGAACATGGTGATAAGAATTTTGGAGTACTCAATTTTTATTAAACATTAAGGCCATTGCTTTTATACCTAATTTGACTATGGAGTACTTCGTATACCTGATCAATACATAGGACTCACGGTAAGTGTGACCGGCCAACAGGGGATTCTTACTCTTTCTAGGCACCAGGGGCCCGTTTTACAAAAGAACTTACGACTAAGACCAAAAATTTGAGGTGATTGTAAAATCTTGCACAGTTGATGTTTCCATTACAATTTGCCAGCATAAATATTTCTTTCTAAATTCTTTTCTCAAAAGATTGAAACCATTGTCATATTTACGAAAAAAGGAAAGTTATTTGCAAAATTACATTTTGGTCTTAGTCGTGAGTTCTTTTGTAAAACGGAGCCCTGATCCCACCTGATCTGGTGTTTCCAGGGGTTCGTGTTTTTGCCCTGTTCACGATTCTTTTTGTTTACTGGATTGATGATATTGATCAATTTTTGTTACCTTCACATTTTACTTATTAAAGAATCGTATTAGAAAATTAAAAGGCAATATGCGAACCATCTTCTCTTCCGTTTTCACTAAATAGGATGTGATAGAAGAATAAGAAAGACTACATGAATAGTATGTTAAGGTTCCAGCAGACAAGGCTAGTAACAATATCGTCTTTGTTTGTAAGGCTCATTATCATAACTGTATCTTAGAAGAACTTGGATTTAATTCTACATCTGGAAATCCTACTCATACTCACAGTTTACTCTCTGAGAATGAAATTCTTCAAAATCACATTTCAGTCTTTAAAACTTTTAACATTAAAGTAAACGAAAGATCTACTCTACCTATACTGGACTTCTAAACTTTATAAAAGTCCCTTGTAAACAAAGATACATTGCCGGGTCTAACAACTGCTCTACCAAGCACATATCTTAACTCTTCAAAAAATATTAACTGCTGTAAAAGAGAAACTTCAGACATACTGTGCTACAGCATGTTCGAGAAGTGGTGTAAATGAAATGTGGATTCTCAAAAACTCCAAAAAAAGTTTAGAAAATTTAAAATCACTTAATTTTTTGAAAGTCAGTAACATCAAAACGTATTACTTTTCTACATTTTATACAACCATTCCTCACGATAAATTAAATTCTAAGCTTTTTGATATCATAGACAAGTGCTTTTTCAATGAAAAAAAAAGGGGGAACTCGTAAAATTTCATATCTTGTGATTGCTCAACAACAAAATTACTTTGTTAAAAATCACTCTGATTCTACACACAAATACTCTGAAGTTGATATTAAAAAGATTCTTGAGTTCCTCATTGACAATATTTATGTACGTGTAGTCTTTGGAGACCAGGTCTTCCAACAATCTGTTGGACTTTCGATGGACACTAATTGTCCTTTTTTATCAGCCTACCGTTTTTATATTCCAACTTCTACATAACTAGAAGAAAACACTTGCTGTGGCTTTCAACTCGATATTCTGATTCATGTATATAGATGACATTCAAATATTTCGACGACGTTTTATCAATTAACAATAGTTACTTCCATTCGTTTGTCGACTTGATATATCCAAGTGAACTCGAAATTAAAGACACCTCACAGTCTGCCACATCTGTTTCATTTTTGGATGTTTTACTGACTACAGACGATAAGGGCCAACTAACGACTAAATTGTATGACAAACTATATGGCTTCAGCTTTTCCATCGTCAACATTCCTTATTTATGTAGTAATATTCCGCTATCACCTGCATATTGTGTTTATGTCTCCCAACTTATTCGATATTCAAGAGTATGCTCTGAGTACGATCTATTTTTAAACCGAGGCAGACTACTGGAAAATAAGTTGATGTTACAGGGATTTCAACTATCTCGTTTAATTAAGTCAGCATTTCAGCAGTCGTTATAATGACCTTATTAGCAAATACAACCTATTATTGGGTCGTATTTTGACTGATATATCTCATATCAATTGTTAGGACTTGGTTTTTATCCTAGAATTGACTAAAAATAACTCCGTCTACCTGCTGATTAATACAAATGTTGACAGATTAACGATACTGAATAATAATATATATAAACTATCATTTTCTGAGAGGACTCAGATAATTTCCTCTAAACTTTGTTATCAAGTCAGTATATTACTTTCCGATTGCTGATGAGATCTTTTTAATGAGACTTTTTTTCTTCTTATTCCAAACGAAAGAAGATAATTTTTTCCATTTGAAGATATTATATTTTATCAACATTCAAAATGCATCAAAATTGGTACCGTATAATATTTACATTATGACCCCTGGGTTGAGTTCTCTTCTGGTTGACTGTTAGTCCCCGAGGGTCTCTACAGCCCAGTAGCTAAGTACTTCGGTACTAGCTTGAAAATACATACATATATATATATATATATATATATATATATATATATATATATATATATATATATATATATATATATATATATATATATTGAATTGCTGTGGTAAAATTTAGAAAAATATTACAAAATTAAGGATTATCTTCCTCATGCATAGCTCTGATCCCTCGATGCAATTCGCTCCAGTCTTTGGCACCCTTTTTCCAGCTCTTCAAAGTCTTTTTTTTATTAAATATTTCGGAATTCCAATGTTTCGGCATGAGCATCACTGAAGAGACATAATTTGTCGAAATACGCATCTATTGCATCAAAATTGTTACCGTAAAAGATTTATATTTTATCTGAAGAATACTCACGATTTAGTTTATTATTTGAGGGATATATATTTTTTTGAATATTTTTCATTAGGGATCGGTAATTCGGTGGATATCCGGAATAACAAGCTTCGGTAAGAAGATTCCGGAACTCAATTTTCCGGCGACATTGACCGAGTTGTAAATCATGAACTATAAGGATAGAATAGAACAGAAGAAATGGTGCCCTCATTTTCTGCTGTACTCATTAAAAATCTAATCAATACAAATTGTTAGGGGTTTTATTAATAATTAGTTTTTCACATTAACCTCCTTTTTAAAGTTTTTTTAATCTGCAAATTTCCGTAGTTTAAATACTTACATTTGTTTTAACAATTAGAAAAATGTGTTAAAACGATTGTTAAAGAATACAAAATCTGTCAAAAATGTAATCATCTTTAAACATATGAAACATTGTCAAACATTTCTTAAACTAATCTATATATATATATATATATATATCTACTTCATTCAGAAGAAAAATCTCTAGAATTACAAATCCAACATGTCAGCAATTAACACGTGATAAAGCAGACATTCGGTGCTGTCACCTACTGACAGCCACTGAGATGCACCTTTATCAGCTGTATCGTTCGCGCTGGAGGTCGATGCCCTGTACGGACCATCCTAGTGATAAACGTGCCGGCATTCTGATTTATTATGTGATTAAATTTCTAACTAGACAACTTACACAAGAGTAAAAAAAGCCTTATCTTGCTTTTTATTTTAATATGTATTTATTTTTTTGTGCTCTGTCGCTAGAACAATAACGACACATTTTATGTAAATAAATAGAACAACTACTATGAAATCTCAGATTAAATAATGCCAATATTACCAGATTACAGTCGGTAACTGTCCTCCAAATAGGTACTTAAGCTTAAAGCAAAAAAATATCAATATCATACGATATCAATTAAAACTCAATATAACGAGTTAACTTGCATTTATTTATTTATTACATGTATTTATTTATTTATTACATGTATTTATATATTTATTATATGTATTTATTTATTTATATCTTCAATTTCATTTTGTTTACGCAGTTTTGTTGTTGTTATTGCTCTTTTTTTTTTCTTTTTTTTTCACAAAACTTTTGTAACAAAATTACTTCTGAACACATTTATCACTTATCAAATATATGGTGCCACTGCAAAGTACAAAAATTCATCTTTCGTGATGTGACCTGATTGATGCATTCAGTAATTAATCCCAGGATGTTTGAGAGCTGTGTAAAAAAATTCTAAAATAGAAAAAAAAGTTAAAAGCAAGCTTCAATGGCAACTGCAATTGGAACATACCCAGAAGTTTATTTTACAAGTGACTTAATTACTTTTTTCAAACCATTATCAGACAATATACTATTGATTGGAATTTGTACTCCGAAGTATAAATTTCCTGTTTTTATCATACAACTGTGAATTTCATTATAGTACAGCGGTCATTGCCTCAATTCGTATATTTTGATAACCACGTTACATTCTTGTGGCTGATTTTAATTAAATCTTTCCACAAATGAGGGAAGTTTTGCAGTTTATAGTGCATATTAAGAATAAAATCTGGAGCAGGATTTGACAAGTTATAAATTTTCTACTTATATGCAGATGGCAACAATTATGAAGCATTTTTGGTTTCATTTTTTTTTTGTACTTTTAGCATGGAAAAACGAATTTATAATTAAACTTTTGTTAAAAAATATCTGACTAATTGATGATGGCAGTGTTGAGTGAGACGTACACGTGTATAAATGATATTCTTGCTGCTATTTTCTGCGTTATTATACAATCTTAGAACTTATGAATATTTTTCTGATTATTGAGGAGAGTATATTTAAATTAATGTCATATTACATATATTTACTTATTATTATTTCATGAAAGGTCACGATTTTACGAACATATTAATTACATAGACTGCTCGCATGCTGCTCTTTTAAATAATATGTGATAAAGTGACCTTGTACCTTTTTATTTAGAAGAAGCACTAATTGATTTCACAGAACTGTTGGAGCACACCCACACAATGAAATATCCTGTCATATGTCATCTTTTTTTCGAATTCGCTCCTATCTTACTGATTATGTTTTTAATCAAATGACAGAACAGGAAAAAAATTCTACATAACAGTCGACAGAAGATTTAAACATTAAAGCATTTGAACTTTATTAACGCAACGACAAGTTCCTTTGAAAAAAATTAATTCTGGTTATTTTCTTGAATTTCAGAAATTTTCTTTTTCTCAACAATCCATGAAGTCTTGCAATGTCATTTTCTGAGAGTACTATGGACTACCTGATCGGTTTGTGTGAAGATCTCTACAATACCACCTGTACCGACTCTCAGCTCAGACACCTCATCCGGGCACTCCATGCCTTCAGGTACAACACAAGTGGTGGAGGGCCTCCTTTTGACATCTGGCGGTTTCTTGAGCAGTACATGTACCCGCGGCGGGATAGTCTCGCTGTAGTTATACCAATCACAATCATCTACAGCATTCTCCTCGTAACCGGTGTCCTTGGCAACATTTGCACGTGCTTTGTAATCGCCAGAAACAAGTTCATGCACACTGCCACGAACTTTTACTTGTTTAATCTTGCCATAGCTGACCTTCTGCTGTTGGTGATTGGTCTTCCCCCTGATCTGTATTCCGTCTGGTCGCTCTACCCCTGGGTGTTTGGAGAAACATTGTGTGTCATGCGCGCTTTTGTCTGTGAAATATCCACTAATACGTCCATTCTCACCATTACAGCTTTCACCGTCGAGCGGTATGTCGCCATTTGTTTCCCAATGAAGGCCCAGAAGATGTCCAGTCTTCCACGTGCGGCCAGAGTAATCGTCTGTGTTTGGATAGTAGCGGTGTGTACCGCCATTCCAATCGCCAACCAGTATGGCGTGGTGAAAATGAAGGACCCTAGGAATCGGACAATCGATGAGTCTGCTATGTGCACCTATAAGCACGCCCCCATTACAGGGTGGTTCCTCGCCTCTACCTGCTTCTTCTTCATTGTCCCGATGATTTTTATCAGCGTCCTCTACAGTTTGATTGCTGCTGCCATACATCGATCCACCATTGACGCTCCTAAGATACATAGGTCCTCCTCTGATGCGTCAAAAACTTCAAAAGAACAGATCACCTGTTTACGAGATAGCAAGGGGCGTACTGATGGCAACGTACAGCTACAGGCACGGGCCAGACGCTCTGTCCTTAAAATGCTCGGTAATTCTCTCTCTCTCTCTCTCTCTCTCTCTCTCTCTCTCTCTCTCTCTCACACACACACACACACACCCTTACACACACACACACACAAACGAAGATTATGTGTGTGTTCTTTCTTGTGCTTACTAATTTTGTTCAAAATTTGGATTTCGAGTGATGTTTTCATCAATTCGTTACTTTTTGGTTGAGGAACACTGATCGCAATTTAGGGTATGTTCCAGATCACAGATTTTATACACAAGTGTTTGACTGGCTACGCCTCATACACACCAGAAAACAGACACGTACAATCTGAATTGAAAAAGTACAAATGAATAACTAATTGGAAAACAAGATAAAATTAACAATGATTGATTTATGAAATATGAAGATAATGAATAGTGATCATTCTCAAAGTCTATTTAAGCAATACAGATTATAAACAGAGCCAACACGGACCTCAGAAAACAGAGGTGGGATCAGGTGCCATGGAGGAATAAGCATGCCCTATCGACCTGTCACATCCGCTGAGTGCTATTTGTCATAATTGGGTAAAGAAAAATCTATATACAATTCAGCGTGAAAATAACATTTGTGTATGAAAAACTTAGTCAACATTCAACTTAACGACAGATTGTATTTGCAAACAAGGTCATTGTATTGACCATAGAATTTGCGAAATGTTGACTTTAAAAGAGACTGTTGATATCCTTGTACCATCAATTTACCTATCAAGTGATTCTATTTTTTCTCTTTACCATATTAGATCTTAAGTGAGCATTTGCTTATTTGCAGCGACCCGCGCAGCATCTGGTTGCTGGCCGTGAACGCACTGTATTTTGCTTTTTATTCGTGAGAACCTTATGTTGGCATAATGAACGAGAGATTGCTTGCGAAAATATCGTTCTCGCTTATATTTTACTTATATTTTGCTATTGTAAACAACAATTACCTTAATTTAAAATACATATTACCTGCTTCGTGAAAATAAAACGTCTCAAAAATTTGATGATCTTTAGAAATAATTATCATAATCTTTGATCAAATTCAGTTTCGCAAAATGAAAAAAAAGGATCCATAATATTCTCTCTTGTTACCGCCTTTCCTATAACTCTCCTTCCTTTATTATTATAATTTTTTATTATTCTATCTTAATGTATTTTTTTTTAAATAATCCACGTTCCTTATTTTTTTTCTAATTGTCAAAACCTATTCGGCAAGCCCTGTGTTTTATGACAATAAAAAGTAACAAGAATTGAAGAAAAACTGATAACTTATTTACAACAATAATAACAGCAAAATATGAATACAATGGGTAACGACACTTTTTAAAAATATATTGTTGGCTAAGTGTTTGCTGTTTGTTTGTTGTTTTTATATATATATCTATTGTTTTGTTTTAGTATTTTTTTTTATTCTGCAGCAGACACATAAATACATAATACAGCACCAGTCATTTCCACTCCATCTGTTTTGCAGTATATAATGGGGTATTTGAAAAACAATGAATGACATATTGAACAACATTATTTTGCTTGTTGGCTGATAATATTTTGATTTTTAGTGGCTAAATTAAGTCGGGCAATTCAAAAAATATTGTTATCGTCACTATTTGTTTTAGCATATCTATTTATTGTCAAAGTATAAGAGAAATCTACGACAACTGTTGTCGAGATCAGCTGAGTCAGTCAACAGGAAACATATTTATAGCCTAATTCTATTTTTAAAAAAATCCAACATTTCAGAAGTTCCAACATAGAAATGAATGTGAATGTGAATATCAGTAATCAAAATTATACATAATAGACCGGGATACTATAAAGCTTAGGAGTATCAACAATGATCACGGTGTTTAAGCATAATCCCATTCTTTATACTCTTATCTTAAATTCAGAACTCTACACAATCGGAGTTAATACTTTGCAAATCAATATTTCTGGAAAAAGTTGTTTCATGCTCAGATTTAATTCCAACCAACTGCAATAAATGACTTCAGTCTTGATACCATCGTTTAAATAAATACAAAGTAAGGATTAACTACTGAATCACACCGGTAACGTCGCCATCTTGGATTTTTGTACCTTCTACTTTTGTGTTCAGATACTGCTTTTCAAGGACAGTGTGAAAGTGAATTATTTTGATCATAAATATTACATTTATTTAAACTTGATGGGTTATTGAATTTGCAAACTTGTCGAACAGGTTAACAAAATGCAGCATATTCGAATGACTCAATACTACGTTTACCTTACAGAAATACCATTAATTCTTTACTTTGATTGATTGATTGATTGTATGTTATTTTACGTCCCATTCGAGAATTTTTCACTCATATAGAGACGTCACCATTTACCGGTGAAGGGCTTCAAATTTCGACCTTTACTCGGCACTCAGGGCCACTGAGCAGTGAGGGATCTTTATCGTGCCAACGCCTGCCGTGACACGGGACCTCGGTTTTTAAGGTCTCATCCGAAGGACCCGCAACTTTCACTTTGAAGTGCCGAGCGCATGGCGAAGGAACAGTTACTACCAATTTTTTTTTATCGACTTAGGTCAGTCGCGGCCGAGATTCAAACTCACGACCTCCCAATCACGGAGCCAGCGCTCTACCGACTGAGCTACCGTAAACGGTAAATCTTTACTTTAAACAAAATCAGTTCTTTTCGTCATTTGTTTTGTAATTTTATTACAAGTTATTGGGAGACAATTCCCACAAGGTACTGCATTGCTAATCTCATAAACAAAGTTGCTCTTACTCTAATTATTTTCCGAAGGAAATGTAATTTATAAGTAAAATATAAACAATTATAGCATAGCTTGCAGGACAAAATTGGACAAAAAATACATTAATTTTTCATCTTCACAAATTTATAAAGGAATAATAGAAGTTAATGTCATTAAGAGTTATCTCTCTTTTCAGAGTAAGTGCAGTATATTTTTATATACAGTTGACTTCCTGTATCTTGAACACTGATATCTCGAATACCATTGATATGTCGAAGTGATTTGATAGTCCCAACCCCTTATTCTTTAAGTACTTTACCCTGGATATCTCGAACCCTCGGATATCTCGAAGTTTTTTCTCGGTCCCTTTGAGTTCGAGATAACGAGGTTTGACTGTATTCTACATTAAAGCGTTCGAAAATGTCTAGTCGGAGTACCTCTTCTAATAATTTAATCAATAATTACTGTTAAACATCCTCTTCAACAAAGTTAAAATATTATATGACGATCCATATAATTATGTACAATAATAAAGTCTACATTTTGTTTCTCGGATTTTTTTTTTTTTTTTTTAAATTACTTTCATTCATACGTTGATTAGATATATGTCACTGAACTCGAAATAAAAGATACCACAGAGTCTGATACATGTTTCAAATTTGGATGTTTTACTAGCAAAATGCATTCATAACAAACTAACCTCCAAACATTATAACAAATATGATTACTTTAATTTTTCTATTTTCAACTTCCCTCACTAATGTAGCGATACACCTGCGTATGGTGTCTACATGTATATCTCTCAGTTTATTCAATACGCAACAGCATGTTCTACGTATGAACAGCAACTAAAGATTTCAATCTACTTACAAATAAGTTATGATACATGGATATCAACTATTTTGTTGAAAGTCGATATTTCGCAAATACTTTAGGCGATACATTTACCTTGTTTGCAAATACAATTTGTCGTTAGATCGAATGTTGTTTTTTTTTTTAAATCAAACTGTTAAGCCATTATTTTCATACAGGATTGTTCACGAATTGCATCGTTTACTCGATCAAGACAAAAGGCTCACGGCGGGTATGACCGCTCGACAGGGGATGCTTACTTCTCTATGGCACATGATTCCACCTCTTCTGATCTCAGGGAATCGTGTTACTCTGCTCTCAATTTGCATTGTGAAATTGAAAATTTGAGTTGATTTATGTTCGTTATCTTCATATGATAAAAATGGAAGGACTAGCATTTAGAAAATGTCTATAGACAGAAAAATACACAGCTAGACAGAACCGGACAGACTGATAGATTGATGAAAGCACTCTCAAAGTCTTCCTAAATTTAAATAAGAATGTGTATTGTCATCAGCTTAATCTCGGATAATGAAAATTTTCGATATTTTTTAGTGGCAGTAGTGGTGGCATTCTTTGTCTGTTGGGCGCCATTTCATGCCGAGCGGATGATGACGGTCTCCATCACTGTATGGACTGTTCCACTTCTCCGGATCTACCGAATTCTTTTTTATGTGTCAGGAATTTTCTATTTTATAAACGGCACCGTCAATCCGGTTCTCTACAGCGTGATGTCTTTCAAATTTAGACAAGGTTTGCGAGAAACTATCCTTAAACCCAAGTGTTGTCGTAGACCAATAAAGTTTAGAAAGAAACTTCCGTTCTCGAAATTGGTACTGGCAAACAGTCACACAGAAACGGCATACACTTCAATGCCGCCACGTTTTATTAACAAAACGGGGCGGACGTTACAAGAGCACGAGCTCATTCCTCAGAACGAGGCTCAAACCTCCGGAAGTCATAGTCCCGCACCATCAATAAGTGGAAGTAGTTTGAAATCAACAGACGGTATGAGTCAAGAAGAAGACTTACAGCAGGTGCTTTTACAGATTAACGTCATCGAGAGACAGTTTAAAAACGATGTCAGTCTAAACTCGGCAGGAAAATCTTGTACTGTAGAGGGTCTGATGGAGGTTCAATTCTGATTTTTCTTTTTGGATGGAGAGGACTTGATTTATACACAGTTTCCAGTGTTTTCTATCTATTTTCCCCTTCCTTTGCTTTGTAATAATGTTGAAATAAAATGTGTTGTTTGTTGTTCATGTGAGCTGTTGTCGCAAGGATTATTGTTCTAGAACAGTGTTTAACAGACATCCTTAATATTAAGTTTATATCTTCAAAATTTTAATTTTTAGACATTTTACATATTTATTTTTATTACTTAATACAAACAAAATTGATATGTATAACATATTTAGAACAAGTTACATTACAAACATAAGATAATGTGACATGACTTGAGACAATCTAAAGCAATAGAAACATGTATTCAGATATATTTTAGGCAAAAAATTTTAAAAAGTCAATAGTATACAAATTGTTAGACATTTTATGTAATGTAACTTCAAATGAATAAAAGTAAGCCACCTCTATAGAGAGAATTACCGAGCTATTGTGGGGCCAAAATAAAGTATATATAGAGGCTTGAAGTATAGATATTTGTTAGTAGCTAAAGACACGTGATCATTTTCTGCGGGTCCCAGGAGAGAATCAAATATGATCACAATATTCATGTAAATTTTTTTGTGGGTCGAATTGGAAAAACTTTTATTGATATAATACAAATTTTACTATTTTTCATCAGAAATTAATCATCTGTATAGTTGTAGAAAAGTACGGCGGTGTGATCGGTCGGCAGGGGATGCTCACTCCTCCATGGCACCTGATCCCACCTCTGATGTTTTGGAGGTTCGTGTTTGCTCTGCTCCTATTTTGTATTGTTTAATGGACTTTTGAGATTGAATACTGTTCGTAATCTCCATATATTTCATCTAACTGTGTGACTTCATATCTGCCCAACTCGGGCAACTTTTACCTAAGTTATCTTTTTTTTTTTTTTCTAGTTTTATGGTAGTGTCAATACCTTTCAGCGAAATTAGAAATATAGATTGCATACTATACACAATCGTGCATCTTGATGGATTCTACACTTTTACCAGTTAACCAAAAAGCGACTGTAATTCACTGCACGGAATCAATATATGAGTAACGTGGACTTGATTTTCATGTATACCAACATAATAAGAATCTGTTTGATGATCCTAAATAAGTGTCCAAATCAATGTGAATATCCTTGCATATAGTCAAAGATTGAATCAGATTTAAAAAAAAAACCATATTTCCTAGAGATAACTGATAATTTATGTTTATTACCATTTTATAACAATATAAGGTTATCAAGCGTGTGGGCATCATTTTCGATATGATAACGGAAAATAACATGTCAAGGTAATCGAGCCTCCCGTGCATTAGTAAACGTTAGAATAATTTATAATACATAATATACATGAATATCCTTTTCTCAGAAAATAAATATCTAACGATAAAAAACTTTTTTAAATATTTAAACTACATGTTTCCACAAGACAGTAATGAACTTTTCCGAGAAGCACTGACTTTTACAGTCGACGGCTTACTTTGACATTTAAACCTACCTTGTGTACGGAGGTACGGAATTGATAATAGCCAAAAAAAAAACTTAATAGTGGTTATAAATATGGTGGTAGGGGCACTAACATGATTTACCGGTATGTAATCAATGCAATACTGTAAAAGTGGTTATTTACGCGTGGGGGAAATTTACACTACTTACGCGGTAAGCTTAGAACCGCGTAAAATACCCCCGCGCGTATGGTCACAAAATTTCAAACTTCTGGAATCATTCTAGACCACGACTTATACTGTTAGACCTCTCGAACCAGTCATATATTAATCGTGGTATTGAACGCACGTGAGTAGATAAATACATCACAGTGATGAACACGTAACTGTTCTTTTTTTTTTAATTGTGCAATGAAAAATGTATCTCCATATGAAATATTTTAAAGCAACGTCATGCAATTAAAGCTTAAAAACATCGATACTCATTTTCATTTCCTTTGTATGTACTTGTATGTCCCTCTTAATTTCAAATAATTAGTCCAAAATGTTACACAAACTCACAGTCACTAAAAACATACCTATTGAATTAATTGCCAACACTCGCCGCGCAGATACAGGTAAGTAAATCCCACTTTAAAGTTTGAGCTTGCGTAAATAATTACAATAAAGCGTACACCAGTTGTTCACACTTCACCGCTTTTGACTGTGCAGATCGCCTTTATATTTAGTAATCCAACAGTATAAATTCTTTTTGTTTAGTTTGTTTGTAATTATTTTTTTTTTCTTATTCATGCGTGTTAACTACTTGACCTTTTCAAAGGGGAACAACTCGATGTTAGTAAACGATGGCCGCGTAAATTTTTCTCAGTAACTCGTGCAACCGCGTATATTACACTAGCTGCAATAATGTAGCCCTCTCCCCTTTTTTTTTTTTTTTTTTTTTTTTTTTTTTTTTTTTTTTTTTTTGGGAGAGGGCTACAACTCCTTAGGATCTCCGTAATGGTGCAAGTGCGGGAGTGATTCACTCCCGCACGGATTTCGGCTTAAATTATCAGTAAATGGCTATTTAATTAACATTTCTTACCTGAACTCCAAAAATGTAGTTATGCAAAACATAAATCAATCCAAACATACACAGAACAATCCTTATATCGGTTATTTTTCGTGTATGTCAACATCACAACTTGAATTTATCCGCCATGTTTACTGACCTTGATCGATTTTATTTTGGGACAGCCAATGAGACTAGGGATCTCTAGGGAGCGGATCTCTGTAGGAATTACCTTATTTTAGGCATAAATATCGCTGTTTACGAAAAAATGTCACATGGAATAGTTTTTTTATCAATATTTAGTGATGCCATACAGCACAATCATTTAGTAACCCCGAAAATCTACTTTACAAAGTAATTTATAATTTTCAAACGCAAGTCTCAGTGCATCACGCGAGAACTGTCATGGCTTCTGATGAGAGCGACTGGTAAACAAGCAGATTTATTTTATCTGGTTTTCGCGTTTAACGGGCTATGTTGTTGACAGTGAATAAAAATTTCACCTTTTTAGAAGTAAGTTGAATGTAAAAACAATTTATTTTGCCTGCAGTCGCCCGTATTTAAAAAATATATTTGCACCATTACAGAGATGCTGTGGAATTGTAGCCCTCTCCAGAAAATATCAGATTAAAAAAAATCGGAGAGGGCTACATTATTGCAGCTAATATTACACCCACGCGTAATATTTGATGGTCACAAACGCCTACTTAACAACCAGTGTAAATAACCACTTTTACAGTAGATGATATGAGGCAGAATTACTTAACTTACTCGTGAGGGGCAGTATCTCCTTTTAATTTTATTTTTCTGAAGGAATGAAATAAGGAATAAAAAACATTTCGGAAGGAAAACTTAGCAAGAATTGGTCAATGTGGGAATGGAGGGGGTTGAGGGTAGGGTGGAAGCCAGTCCCTTCCTAGACAACGTAATATTTGTTTTGATATGGCCAATTTTTATCGTTTAATTGACTTTTGAGCTTAATGTCCATTAAAAGCCGCATGTAAGTGTTTGCCTCTAAATTACTATCTTTCGAACCTGGGTAAGAAGAGAAAAATTTCATGGGCCCTATGTAAGTATTTCATAAAATTAATACTTGTCTTTGTCTGAATGTAACAAATTGAATGAAGTAAAAAATTTTGTTTAAAAGGCGTTTTAAAAAAGGTTTTGGTGCTTAATAACGTTTTAAGCTTTCTTTTTGGCCCTCAGCCTGGGTATAATCAAATTCCAAAACTTTATTGCATATCTACCGGAACATCACCAATCATATTCCAAAGTGTATTTTAGCTAGGAGTCCAGGGAACCAGAGTTTTATTTTTCGACTCCTTATTGGCTTTCGAAAGGAAATAAAAATTTCGAAACCTTATCGCATATCTACTGGAGACAACCATTCATATTCGACTGATGATTTGGCTACTGTGTAATATGTAAAAAAGAGTTCTGGGAATCAGGTTTTTCTAGAAAAAAAATCTCACCCCAAGATCAAAATGAAAATTTCAAGACTTTATTGCATGTCTTCATATTCCAAATGATGATATGATAACTGCTTAAAATGTGAGGAGAATGTGACGAAGAAAGTGAGACAAACGGACGGGGGATTATAAAACCCCCGATCTTTCTTTTAAAAAGATAAATGAAAATAAATAAAACCTGTATTATGAAATATGAAGCTAAAGAACAGTAATCAAGTTCAAAAGTCCACTGAAACAATAAAAATAGGGAGCAGAGAAAACACAGACCTCTAAAACATCAGAGGTGGGATCAGGTGCCATGGAGGAGTAAGTACCCCCTGATGACCGGTGTCGCATAATATTTGGTCCGCCTCGTTTAAAGGTCCGGGGGGACCTAATACGATAACATATAAGGTCCGCCTTTTATAAGAAAAGGTCCGGCCCGTATAAGAAAAGGTCCGCCTTAGTTTAAAGGTCCGGGTGGTGCAAAAATGTTTTAATCTTGACTTAAACACATAAAATTAAAGAGAGTTTGTTTACATCATATGGAGAAAGATTAAGGATTAACCCTTGCTGTTGTGTTTATTTTTTTGTACAATGTATCTCTTAGGGCAGGAATTGCTACTCCATGTTTAGTGTGCTTTTAGCAATACTGTTTAGGGCAATGATTTTAAAAAAATGTCGCATTTATTGGATTTGTGTTTGTTTTTCCCCAGCATTTGCTTTATGTAAATTAGGACGATTAAAGGTGTGAAATCTGCCGGTGTGTATAGGCAATAAAACAATGGGGGTGTGAAGTATACCTGACAGGTACCCGCAGGTAGAGCCCGCGGCAGATAGCAATGACAATGTAATGGTCATGTGTTTGCTTTAAACCAATAGATATGAATTCTCTATTTTAATAAATTATGCTGAAGAACAAATTATAATACTGTTATGATATTCATGCGTACACATCAAAATTCTAATATATATAATTATATATAGTCTATTTTTATTACAATATTTAAAGAAATTTCTTATTCCAAGTGTAGAGTTTAATACTAAGACCAATAAAAAATAAAAGTATGTATATGCTTCCCTTTAGTTTTAACAATTAACTTGTTTTCAGTTTATAATATTTTGCCCTTTATTTGTGGATAGGGTAATATATAGCC